GGCTTCGAAGTGGTGGGCATATACACGTGGCCCAGCGGCAACACCTACGAAGGCTACTGGTCCCAGGGCAAGAGGCACGGCCTGGGAATCGAGACCAAAGGACGGTGGGTTTACAGGGGCGAGTGGACCCACGGCTTTAAGGGGCGGTACGGCGCGAGGCAGAGCATGAGCAGCGGGGCCAAGTACGAGGGCACCTGGAACAACGGCCTGCAGGATGGCTACGGCACCGAGACCTACGCTGACGGAGGTAGGGGAGACTGCCGGGGGGCTGCGGGGGGTGAGCGGCGGGGCCGCAGCCCGCAGGGGCGCACGGCTCTGCCTTGTCCCCCTGCATGGGCTGACCTGGTGCAGGCACGCCCAGCGCTCTGCGGGGCACTGCAGATGAGAAGCAGAGCTTGGGGTGCAACCACCTCGTAAACTGATTTTCACAGTGGGGTGCAGCACATGCAGCTTGCCACCTGTGGACACGAGGGAGGGGCAGCAGGAGCGTTGTCCCCACCATCCCTCCCTCGGGAGCCGCTCTTGACTGCCCGTATCAACAGTTAACACCAATCAACTCGATTTGTGTAGTCTGTGGCTCCTGCTTCCCCAGGGGCTGGTTACTGCAATTCATTGCTGAACCTAACCAGAAGCTCCTTGCTGGTGCACAACCATGGTGAGCCTTTCCCTTGGTCATCAGACAGCGAGCTGGAACACGTTTACGTTGGATGTAAGCCTCCCACAGCATTGCAGCACGCTTTGCCCATGCACTGATCACCACTAGTGTGCCCCTGACAGGCTGCCTGGATCTGTTTTCCTGAACCATTTTGGTTGAGTTCATCTAAGCCATTTAGAATACATAGTCACACGCCTTTGCCTAAAATAAATCCCTTTGATTACTTGGAAGCTCTCAACCCCTGTTAGTACACAAATGCACCACATAGTCAGATATTTGTTGTACTCTCTAAATGCTCAGTCTAATTGTGTTCTTGCATTAGTGGCAATTTTGGGGTTAGAAACATGGCAAGAATCTCTGTGCAAGTAATTCTGTACCTCTTCAGTTCTGTAATGTTCCAGGCTGTCATATTTAGGGTAGCTAAATAGGGTGATTTGAAATAAATACTCTTCAAAATATGGACCAGAATTATTTCTATACTTATCTAGGAGAAGCAATGGGGTTAGTTTTTAGAGAAAAATAATGACAATGGTATAAATCTTCAGAATGAAGAACGTTGGATTTATAGACATTAGAAAAATTTACTAATTCCAGACTGGCTGTCAGGGTTATGTTTTTACATAAATATTTCTCCATAAGTTGCTTAGGTACATTGCAAACTTTAACCCTGGGAATATATTGTGGAAGTTGAGTTGTTCTCTTTGGGCCCTTGGAAGCTGTAGATAGCCATGAGCTGATGCTTCCCTCCAGCTCCTGCCCCATGGCTGCGGAGGGGTGGAACACTGAGCTGTGCAGGTTGCACCGTGGCAGTGAGCTCAGGCTGATGCCCACGTGTGCACTTGTGCGTTGCAGAACCTTTGTGTGTGGCCTTAAGGTGTGTAGGTTGTGTGTAGGCTGAGCTCTGAGTGCTGAGCAGCCATCAGAGCTCAGCAGTGGCTGCTGTGGGGACTGTCGTTCTGCAGGTGTCAAGGTCTCCCATGAACTTGCATGGCCACTTCCTCACTGCTTCCTAAAATGCATCTTCTACAGGTGCAGGATGACTGTATTTCATTAATGTTAATGTTGCAGAGAATTTTGAGAGGCAAAACTTGATGTAGGAGTTGGTATTTGATTAGATCATGGACTGAAAGCTTGGAACAGAAGAGAGGGAAACATGAGTCAAGATTTTCTCCTGTAAGGATATGTAAGATACTGCTTTGGTCAGCACAGCACTCCCTGGGGTGGTGTCCTGCACCCAAGAACGTGCCGTCTACATGATCCTTGGTGCTGCCTGGGACTGGCAGCTTAGCCCTGATCTGTGGAGATGTGCCCTGCCAAAGCCACCCTGGGCAGCACTGAGCTGAGCCCCCCAGGGCCTGGCCAGGCCTGGCTCACACCAGCTGTGCAGTGGTGCCCAGTGGCTGCTCCTTGCCTTGGGCCATCCCATCCTGGCTGTGCTAAGCAGCTCATTCAACATGTGAGCTTCTCTGGTGGTACAGGAGCACGTAGAAGCTGCATCCCAAGTCAAGGTGGAGTTTGCCAGCCAGCATCACCTGTGTGGGACTTGCAGGATCCACTCCTGTTCTGTCTCCTCACCTGTACCCAGTAACCAGCTGCACGATGCAGATGTGACCGGGCTGCTTGTTGGACCTGTTAACGTTTGAATTTGAGGTTGCCAAGATAAACATCTGGAGAGGCCTTGGAAATCTGCTGTCCCTCGAGTAGGGGACGTGACTCCCAAGCCCCTGGGAAGCCAGCCACGCCAGGAAGAGGGCTCTGGGAACGTGAGGCTCTTGCCAGGTCATTAGAAGCTTTAGGTCATGGCTGGGCTACTCGTGGATTTTGGGGAGATGTAGCTGATTCTGAGGTTTTAAAATAGCTTTTTATATGCATATTTTGTAAAGAGATATATATATATATATACACGCACACAAAAACACTGTATTTTAAATTACATTTACAAATCACAGAGGAACCTAGAAGTATATTTTATCTTATGGCTGGATGAGGATGGTGGCTAAACAAAGCCCAAATCTGGAGTGAATCTTTTTGAACTCTTATATAGATTTTGGTATCTAATAAGCAGTGGAGTAATGGTATGGTTCAGCCCAGGCACTGTGTGCATCATGAGCTTTTTCTCTCTGCTACCAAACGCCCATTTTTTTTTTTTTTTTTTTTTTTTGTGAAAGCTATGGGAGACTTGTGGCTTTGAGGACTTCTGTAACATTGATTGAAATCAACCAAAGGGTTCAGAGCTCCTGGTGTGGCTGGGCAGAGTCAGTAACACTATATGTCCTTGGGTCTCCCAGCTGAATGTACGTTGTCTGCTGCCCAGAGCCCTTCACAGGGGCAGGATGTGCAGCTCAGGGGGATGGTGATTGGCGTTGTGGAAGGCACAGCATGAAGGAAATTACCGTTTTGCAACCTAGGCTATGAGTAAACACCTAGTTACTGGACTTCTATCTGGAGGTTTTGTCTCTGTTCTAAGGCAGGCCTCATTTTTTGGATGCTTTTGTGCTTTTGAGTGTGAGTGCTTGAGCCAGTCGAGTCTTGCTGCAGAAGGAACCTTGCTGCTCATGCAGAATTGTGCTGCTCATGCAGAATTGTGCTGCACATGCAGGATCTGGGCCCAAAGCTGGGCTTTGCTATCCAAATAACTGCACTTAATGTATATCTGTGTGGGGGAGGAGGAAAACTCACCTGCAACTGAAGCAGCCTAAAACCAACCTTATTTTTGATACTCCAGTTTGGTCTCACAGGGTGCTAGGAGAAAACAGTTGTGTCAGTTAACTGTGTGCAGAAACAATTGGACCATTCAGTGATCATGAGACCACAGGAAAGGGGAAATGCAGAAGGTGCTTTATCAGGAGAGATGAACCGGGGTGATAGGGAGCAGCACTGGCTCCTCGGGTGCCCAGGGCAGAGAAAGCACAGTGGGAAGGGCCCTGGGCTGGGGCAGAAGGAGCAGCATCCATGGCACTGTAGCTGGGGAA